CCTGTTGCAATCTTTTTGCATCATCCTCAGAGCTTACTCTCCCACCTAGTTTAGTGTCATCTGCGAATTTAGATACGTTACATTCAATGTCCTTGTCTAGATCATTACTGTAAATTGTAAATAGCTGAGGCCCAAGCACTGATCCTTGCGGCACTCCACTCGTCACATCCTTCCAATTCAAGAATGACCCGTTTATCCCTACTCTTTGTTTTCTACCCTTTAGCCACTCTTCAATCCATGCTAATATGTTCCCATTAATCCCGTGGGCCTTAACCTTGTGCAATAGCCTTTTGTGTGGCACTTTGTCAAATGCCTTCTTAAAATCTAAATGTACTATATCTACTGGTTCCCCCCTATCTAACCTGCTGGATACATCTTCAAAAAACTCTAAAAGATTAGTTAAGCATGACTTCCCTTTTGTAAAGCCATGTTGACTCTGCCTAATCTTGTTATGGTCTTCCAGGAATCCCATAATGACATCCTTAATTAAGGACTCAAGAATTTTCCCAACCACTGATGTCAGACTAACTGGTCTATAGTTCCCCATCTTTTCTCTCCCACCCTTCTTCAATAGTGGTGTTATGTTTGCAATCTTCCAATCAATGGGAACCGTTCCAGAATCCAGAGAATTTTGGAAGATCAGTAGCCACCTCTTTTAAAACCGTAGGATACAGGCCGTCAGGTCCAGGGGATTTATCAGTTTTTAAGACCCGACAATTTACCTAAAACCATTTCTTTACTAATATTAATTCCTCCAAGTTGCTCGCTAACATTCTCTTCTTGGTTCCCCTCTATTCTTGGTAGGTTTTCAGTGTCTTCTAAGGTGAAGACAGTAGCAAAGTACTTGTTTAATGACTCTGCCATGTCTTTGTCCCCTACCATAATTCCCCCCGTCTCTGCTTCTAACGGACCCACATTTACCTTTGACAGCCTCTTCCTCTTTATATATTTGTAAAAACTCTTGCAGTCTGTCTTTATGTTCTTCGCTAGTTTGCCCTCATATTCCATTTTCTACCCTCTTAATCACTTTTTTGGTTCTCCTTTGTTGATCCCTAAAGTTCTCCCAATCCTCGGGTTTACTGCTCATCTTAGCTGTTTTATAGGCTTCTTCCTTTAACTATACTTTCCCTAACTGTTCTAGTTAGCCACTGTTGGGCCACCTTTCCCATGGCATTCTTATTCCTCAAAGGAATACGTGCTCGCTAGGAATTTTGCAGATACTATCTCCTTAAATGTCTGTCATTGCTATTGCTGGTCTACTGTCAAATCCTTCAGTCTAATTTCCTAGTTTATTTTGGCTAAATCCTCTCTCATACCAGCAAAGTTGGCTCTACTTAAATTTAAGACCTTTGCTTCGGACTTAACTACTTCTCTCTCTAACTTAATGCTAAATTCCATCTTATTATGATCACTTTGCCCTAGAGGAGCCTTAAATTCCAGTTTGCTGATCAGCCCTGCTTCATTACACAAAACAAGGTCTAATATGGCCTATTCCCTGGTTGGTCCCTACTAATCCAGATAATTATCCCTAATACATTCTATAAACTCTTCCTCTATCTTACTTTTCCCAATTTGGTTGTCCCAATCTATATGCAGATTAAAATCACCCACAATTAATGTTTTTCCTTTGCTACATGCTTCACTAATTTCCCGATTAAGCTGCATCTTGAAACTGGCCTTGAATGAGGGAAGAGAGGGAACGAGTTGGAGGGACTCCAGGACGGAGTTCCAGAGAGTGAGGGCAGTATTGCTGAAAGCCGCGGATGGTGGGGTAGATGGGACATGAAGCAGTCCATTGGTCGCTAAGCAAAGGGAGCGGCCAGGTTGGTATGGCTGAAGGAGGTCCTAGAGGTAGGGTGGGGTGAGATTATGGAGATTTGAAGCTGAGAATTAAGATCTTGCACTGCATCCGCTGAGCGATTGGGAGCCAGTGGAGCCCCACAAACATAGGAGTTATAGGCTCGCAGAGTCTGGTGCGGGAGAGGACATGGGCTGCAGAGTTCTGGATGTGTAGGGAAGAGCTAGAAAATAAGGTTTTAGTGCAGTCAAGCCTGGACGTGATAAGTGTGTGTAGGATCTCAGTGACCTGAGGGTAGAGATAGTGCCACTTTAGTGCAGTAAAAATGAAATCCATTGGAGAACTAGATTTTCAGCTATTGTGTGAGTCAGGCAAGATTCTTCGCATTCTGCTTCTATTAACCTGCCAAGCCAAAACCCTAATTTTGCTCCTCCTAATTGGATAAGCAGCAGGAAGCTTGCCAGAAAGTGCTTTCGATGGCAAGCTGTGCAGTTTTAGCTAGTTAAATTCCAGCAGTACCCCAACACACACTCTAGGATCTCCAAGTCTTGGCTCTTGCCAGCCTGTGCCTAATGCTCCGGATTAAGGTAAACAGGATGCGTTTCTCCAGGGAGGGGAGTCCTGTAGCTCAGTGGTTAGAGGACTCGCTTTGCAAGTGAGAGACCTGAGTTCAATTCCAGGCAGGGCGAAACCTTGGGCAAGTTTCCTTACTCCACACACCTAATAATAATCCCTCCAAAACCAAAAACAATAATAAATTGGTCATTTTCAATCTACGACTGTGGGACATTGCTGTGCGCAATTGGCTGCCGCGTTCACCCACAAATATACAGTCAATTCACTTTACAGTGTGTTCTGTGAAGCGCTTTGGGACGTCCTCCCGACATGAAAGCGCTATATCAAATACAAGGATTATTATTATTACATTCCAACAAATATCTCAGAAATTTCTAACTACAGGTGAGATGCATGGAACTCTATTTGGTTTGTATATTCTTAAGCACGGCGATTGTCAAACACTTAGCTGGCCAAAAGGATTGCAGTAATAAACTTGTGTTCTCTTGATTCTGCTGCCTTGGCGTATCTGACAGTATTGTTCTGTTTTTACTTTTTTGTCCTATTAACCATCTAGAAGGGAGTTCTCACCAACAATCCCCCGAATAAAATTGGTCATTCACTTCATGGATGTTTGCCACATTTGCCTACAAAAATAGTCACTATACATCGTAAAATCCTGGAAAGGGCTTTAAGACTTCTCAATGAACAATAGGTGCTATATCAAATGCAAGGATTATTTATCTCGGACATCTTTTCAAGGCTGAAGAGCCTAGCTCATTTAATTATTCCTCATAGCATTTCTAGTCTTCTTGTATGAGCCTTGTAGGACTTGTATCTGGATCATTGGATTGTGAGTTCAAGTGCCACTTCAGGACTTCAGCTCATAGTCTTAGCTGAAAATCCAGTGCAATACGATGGGAGTGCTGCATTATTGGAGGTGCTATCATTTGGATGAAATATTAACTAAGGACCTATAATAATAACAATAATCCTTGTATTTAATATAGTGCCTTATCAGGTCTTCGAGAAGTCTTAAAGTGCTTCACAGAATATACTGTAAGGTGAATTGATTGTATATTTTGCAAATGGCTGCTACATCTGTGTTTTTGAAGTGTTGACAAGTTTCAATATAGTTTAAGTGCAGTAAAAATGCAAATTCTGTCTCTATAGCTCATTCCTTTAACACTAGGAATTAACCTGGAAAACCAACTTAGGTTTGTGTCCCTGATCACTATCCAGGTACGTCTGTTGAAAAGTGTGGGTATGTAGTCATCTTTTGAGAACCAGATCAGGTTTGATTGTGACGTGTCCTGCATGATACTTCAATGACTAGGTTCACTCTTGAATAATCGCAACACGAGCAGAATATCGTCCAGAGTGCAGTGAGTGAAGCCTACCACAATAGAAGGGATTTTTTAATATTTTTTTTCTCACAAAATACCTGGAAAATCCACTTTGCAATATATTCCGTGAAGCGCTTTGAGACATCTCAATAACGTGATAAAGCAAGAATTATATTAAAAAAGGAATTAAGATGGGGACAAAGAATTGTTGGAGAAACTGCTTTAAATTAACATGTGAAATATTATACACAATACTTTTCAAATAATTTGTAAATTATTTTTAGCTGTTTTAGTTGGAAATATTTTGATGGTAATTGCGTTGTGGTTTAGTTATAATTCCTTTCCTGGTCTAATTTGTTCTGTATAGCATTGTGTAATTGTATATGCACTCTGACAAAGTCGTTGCTATTACTTGCTATTATTTCAGGCTTACTCCTTGTTGAAAAGTACTCCTCTTGATTTGCCAGTCAGGTGACCAATTTGATTTTAATTGTAGTATCTGCAAACCCACACAATTTAATGTTAATTTAGTCAACGGAATTTCTTGCATTCACTCTATAAGCACCACGATAAACTTGTGAAAGTGACGCTCAGTATCTTAATTTGTTTTTCGCAGATGCTAGTTTCTCCAATGAGGGATTAATTCAGTAAACAAATACATGAATAGCTTTTCACAAGCAAAGATTGCTTCAATGTCAGTGAATACATTACCTCTGAAGTGCCTCTAGGTCTGAATAAACCTGTTTTGGTTGATTCATTTCTTCTAATTGATGTGATGTTATACAATTTAGTTACATATTTAATGACTATCTGGAGTTTTTGTATATGTGAAAAATGCATCAGTCTATCTGTGACTGTCCTAAAATCTTTTTCAGGAAGGTTCCTTTGTTCAGGTGGAAGTACAGTATTTCTGTTCTTAATTCCAAATATATGTGTTTGGTCAGTCTGTCATTGATGTCTAATAATATTTATGGGTTGAAATGCAATGATTCACATAGATTTAGTGGGCAAATATATTGTTGCGGACTTGCAGGTGCTTTGCAGTAGTAAATAGTGCTATTTGTGTGCATATGCTTTTATGTCAAATTGCTGTATCAGATTTCAAATTACTTGCAAACCAATTGATAATCCTATTGTGGTTGTGAAAATGACTAAACAAAATCATAACACAACTCCAGATCTTACCATTAACAAGAGTAACTCCTTTAAGACCAGCAGAAGAGTGTTAAACCTCACTATATAGTACCTAACTAACCCACAGCAAGTTCTGTCACTGATTCCTTTGTTTCCTGATTTAATAGGTAGAGAAAATTGTGGCCAAGAGGAAAAATAAAAAAGGGCGAACAGAGTATTTGGTGCGGTGGAAAGGTTATGACAGTGACGATGACACATGGGAACCAGAACATCATCTGGTGAACTGTGAGGAGTATATTCTGGAGTTTAACAGACAGCACAGTGATAAGCAGAAAGACGGTCCTTTTTCCAGAGCAAGCAAACACAGTCTGAACAATGCTCGAAAACAGATTTCCAGGTCAACCAACAGCTCTCTGTCAAAGTCTGCTCCAAAATCATCAGGAGTTGGTAAAGATAATGACTCAAAAAACAGCAGTCAATTCTTGTCAAGTCACCAGAAATACCGAAAAAGCAGCTCACAGGCTTTCTCCAGTAGGAAGACAATGGACCTTTCTAAATCTGGCATCAAAATCTTAGTTCCGCGAAGCCCTCTAAAGAATAGGATAATTGATGGTTTTCAGGATACCTCATCAGACAGATTAGAGCAAATGGCACAGAATCCAGACTCTGTAGCACCAGAACTGACTATTGAAAAGCCAGTTGGGGCTTTGCTTAGCCCTGGAAGTGAAAGAGCCAGGATGGGGACCAGGCCAAGGACGCAATCCTTATCACCACAGATGCAACTGCCAGTGACCGCAGCCACAGCTTCAGCGTTATTTAATGGCAAAGGTAAGTGTGGATTGTGTTGCGATACTGTTTTCCTTGTAATAATACCATAATTAGCTGTTGAAAAATTGTTACCACAGCTGTGTAATTTATAGATTTCTTTTCATAGCCTTGAGATTTCACTATACAGCTCTCCAAAGTGATTGTCTCCTATTCCAGAAACAAAACAAGCTGCAGTTTGTGCTTCTTCCCCCTTCATTTGCCAAAATGATGGGAGTTCACAATCCACTATGGATGAAGATGCAAAGCAAAATAAACCTGGCTTCTTGTACACCAATACAAAAACTTCTGACCACAGAACAAGCTTACATTTTTTATGACTTTCTTCTGACTTTATTTACCCTATTCACAGGCTAATGTATCTCAACTTTTTTAGCTTTCACACAAGTAGGCTTCTATCTTGGTCCATATTGGCCAGTACAAGTATTCTCCTCCTCCCTACTTCTGATATTCCAATATGTACATATTGTTTAACAATATATAATTTACTTGACCAGAAGAGTACAGAGAGAAGGCAGTTCACTATATCTTTTTAAATGAAATCTTAAAAGAACTTTCTTGTCCTTCATAATATTTAATATTTAGTACACTGCACCTTGCAAAGCACTCAAGGTTGCTAGAAGTAGTGTCAAGTTAGCCTATTGTGCTTGACCTTATAGTTCAGTTGTCAAGGAAATTACTAATGTAGATTAAAGGGTAGTAGGATCCGAGACTGCTACTCAAAATCAAGATTATTGCTTTATTGTTACATATTTATTTTAAAAATTGTATACTCTTAGTGACAGAAATTGCATTGCTAACTTAGATTCTTCAATAATGAACTCCTTTAACTATAAGCAATACTTGACTACTTAGTCTGATTAATGGATAATTTGAACATGTTTTTCCATGTTTGATAGATTATGCATTAAAACAGTATTTATGCAGAATGTTTTCTACGATGTGTTATGATATACTATTAACTACAATTCAATTTTGTGGTGTTTCCACTCTAACTATGCTGTTGACTGTATATTCATCAGTAAGTTATTTCAAATAGAAAGGACTAGGACCATTGTGTAATGCTGACATTATTTATGCAAACTACACATCTGATAAGCTAGTAATCTTGTATATTTTACTGCCCTGAGAACCGTGTTTTACCATGCTTTTTTTTCACTGTCGTGGTCCCCCATTCCCATAAGAGAGAGCTTCGTGCCTGAACGTTTCGTCTGCTGTTTCACCTTTTCTTAAGTATGTATCCCCCACAGTGCTGATTGATGCACTTTGTGTAGCTGATGGTGCCCAACATACAAGTCCTTTCACATGTACTTACAATTATAGATTTTTTTAAAAATGTGGGTGGTACAGGAGTGTGAAACAAAATCCTATTTTGTTTTCTCTGAGATCGGTGCCTTTATATCTAACCTACACAATAGAGACGCTTGACTAAGATCAGAGCAAAATGATTGGGGAGGGAATCCTTATGGCACATCAGACTCGAGCAAGACCTTTTCGAGCCTTCAAAAAAACATGGATGTATAAAGAACTTGAACTAAGTATGAAGTCCAATTAAATATAACCCAAAAAATGGCATATGAGAGCCAAAGTGGAGTACGAGACTGAAGTAATGAAAAGCAGCAAGGAGAACTCTGAAACCATCTTTGGTATGCTAATTGCATGGGCACTGCAACGGATAGAACAGGATATATACCAACCTGAGCTAACTAAGACTGACCTACTCAGTGCCTGCCTTTCCTCAATATTCTTTGCAACAGAGGATTACTCGAGGCAACTAGAAGTATGAAAAGCCTGACCTTTGGCTGTATTGCAGATCTGGATAGAATTATGGGCTCCACGGCGTTGATGCCCTTGAGTCCGATGGCACCCACCCGAATCGATTCTTCTGTTCTGATGAAGGGTCGTGGACCTGAAACGTTGATTCACTTTCCTTTCTCATAGATGCTGCCTGATTTTGTTTTCCTTTTCCTGTGACAAGCCAAGATCCATTTTTTTCAAAAATGCACAACTTTGGGTAATATTGCCTTTGGAAGTTTTCTTTTAAAGTGAAAATACATAACAAAATTGAAAAGATTTAAAATCTTATTAAATTCAATTTAAAAGAAAGTAACAATAAAAGTAATGGAGAAATCTGCCAGACTATTTTTGAATTGAAAATAATTAGACTGGGAAGACAGCAAATTTAACATGCGAAAATGAAGAGTTAAACAAAAGTTAATTTGAGTATCTTGCAAGTTTTATAACAACAAAATTACATTTGTATACACCTTTCACGTCAGGAGGATGTCCCAAGGCACTGGACAATCAGAGTTTCGGACCCGAGCTGGGGGTCAGGATTGGGGAGGGTGGAGGGCAGGGGGAAGCAGAGTGATCGAAAACACGGTTGAAGAGGAAGGTCTTGAGATGGGTCTTGAAGGAGGCAAGGGTGGGGGCGAGGCGGAGGGACTGCGGGATGGAGTTCCAGAGGGTGGGGGCAGAGTGTCAGAAGGTCCGCCCGCCAATGGTGGGATGGGCGAGGCGGGGACCTGAAGCAGGCTGGAGCCTGCCGAACGGAGGGAGCACGCAGGTTGGTGAGGGCTTAGGAGGTCACAGAGGTAGTGGGGAGCAAGGCCATGAAGGGCTTTGAAGGTGAGGCCCAGGATCTTGAACTGTATCCTTTGTGTGATGGGAAGCCAGTGGAGTCGAGCGAGGATGGGGGTGATAGGGTCATGGAGCCTAGTGCGGGAGAGGACACGGGCTGCAGAGTTCTGGATGATCTGCAGCCTATGGAGGGAGGAGTTGGGGAGGGCGACAAGCAGGGAGTTTGCATAGTCAAGCCTCGATGTTATGAAAGTGTGTATGAGGGTTTCGGTGGCCTGTGGTGTGAGACAGTGGCGGAGCCGGGCAATGTTGCGGCTGTGGGGGAAGGCAGAGCGGACCATGGCACAGATGTGAGGTAGAAAGGATAGTTGAGGGTCAAACAAGACGCCAAGGTTCCAGACTGACTCAGTGAGGTGGACTGTGCATCCTTAGATGGTGATGCTGTCAGTGCCTGAGGTGTCAATACGCTGACGGGAGCCAATCAGGAGAGCCTCAGTCTTGTTGACATTCAACTGAAGAAAGTTAGCTCTCATCCAGGACTTGATGTCTGACAGACATTCTGCCAGAACAGCAGTGGTCCTGCAGTCAAGGGTGGAGGTAGAGAGGTAGAGTTGGGTGTCATCTGCATACATGTGGAAGTTGACCCCATATCTGCGGATGATGTCACCAAGACAGAGCATATAGATGTTGAAGAGGGGACCGAGGACAGAGCCCTGAGGAACACCGCACAAGACAGTGTGGTGGTTAGAGGAGATACCGTTTGTGGAGATGAAGTGGAGGCAGTCGGTGTGAGAGGTACGATCTGAACCATTCAAGGACAGAACCGTGAAGGTGGAGGTGAGAGGAGAAGTGGTGGATGAGGATAGAGTGGTCAACGGTGTCCAAGGCAGCAGAGAGGACGAAGAGGCAGAGGGAACCCTGTCACAGATACTAATACATTATCAGCAAATGTATTGACTTTCCTCATTTTATTTTTGTAAAATAACAATTTTAAAATCCTCTGTCCTGATAGTACTTTGTCTACATTATACATATAATTTAATATTTTTTACAAATAAAGTAGGAAGCTAATTTAATAAGGTTTTTGGTCATAAATATATTAAACGGTTGTAGAAGTTGTTTCAACTGTTACTGCTAGATAACTCAGAAAATAGTGTATTGCTATTTATAATCAAATTACTAGAGTCAATTAAGTGGTGCATTCCATAATTAACACATCAAATGTTTATAGATGTATTTCATCCCTTACATCATTCCCATAATTAGAGCGCATTATCATTTTGAGTTAAACTTGGATTAGCTAATTCTTCGTTTCAGAATATGTCTATAGTTGCATAGTTTATTGTATTTCATACCTTTCCGTGAATTTCATTTACACATTAAGTGAATTCTGCAAAGGTCTCCAGATACATTTATAAAGGATTGGTTGAACAAAAAATGTGTTCTTCCTAAATCATTATGCATAACATGGACCAATCAACTAGCATGCATCATCTGTCAATCAAGCAATCTTATTACATTTTCCCAACCAATTTGCCAGCCAAATAATAATAATAATCCTTGCATTTGATATAGCACCTTATCACATCGTTGAGGCACTTCACAGGATATATTGTAAAGTGGATTGACTGTGTATTTTGAGATGCCCCTCAGTCCTGTCCCTCCGGGGCTCTGCGTCCGCCCGTTGGACTCAGGGAGGTTCCTTGCTGGGCCATGATGGTGGAGTCTGTGTTGGGTGCTCTGCAAGTCGCTATGAAGCTGTGAAGTGTGGCAGTTCAGCTAGACCCAGAGAACTGGCAGAACTTTGACAAGTCTTAGATTGTAAAAATAAATTTGTGGACATTGATTGCACAATGTGCCAATTCTTTGTGTACAGACAGATTTTTTGCATAATACACAGGATTTTGCATCAATGCGATCACTAAATAGAGATGTGCAAAAAATAAATGGTATAAGTGAGGATTTTGGAAGTTGTTGTTGACAGAGGAAAGGTTGAAAAAGGAAAGGAACAGAAATATCAAATGGATTTAGGATTTTGGAAGAAAGGAATAATCGTAACCAACTGGCATGGCGGCCGCAGAATAGATCATTCTGAGTAAAAAGAAACGCATTAAAAGGAGCTTAATAAGTGTGTAGATAGTTGTGATTTTAATATTTATGGGAAAATGTAAATTATACAATTTTGCAATATGGAGAGCAAAGTTTAGTCACAGTAAGGTGTTGAATGGGAAGGAGCTAGAATGTAACCTCCTAATTGTTTGTGTTTGGACACATTAAGGGGGTGATTTACAATCTGCAATGCTAAAAAGGAAGTCTTTTATAAGGAAAATATCTAGCATATTGCAAGTTTGTTTAATTTTGTTCAATCTAAAATGCTCTCAGTACCAACCTTTGATATTATAAAAGTAAGTAGTAGAGAATAA